CATCAAGGTTCCGGAGCCCTCGGACGAAGCTGAGCCCCTCCAGCTAGTTGCCGCCGGGCGAGGCCGTGGACCCAGCAGGACCCATACGCCTGGAGCAATTGATACCCTAGTTGACCATCAGCGTCAGCCGTCTGCCCAAAGCCGCCTGTCCCGGGGGCCGTAGCCGTGCATCTCATCCCTGCCCCGGCGTGGGTCGGCGGCTGTTCCAACTTGGAACATGGCCTTGAAGGCCCTCCCACCGTGGTGGATGTCCGCTACGGATCGAGCCGCTCCACTCCAAGTGCTGCAGGTGGTTCATCACTGGGCCCCCTTGTTCACCCCCCTCCGGCACCTCCCCCGGGGCCGATCCCCTGTGCCGCGCAGCGCTCGCAGGATTAGTGGCCTCGGATCCCATCCCGGTACGGACTCATCTGAACATGCCGGATTTCTGCGGGATGTAAACTGCCATCGACTTGCGACACGAGCCAGTACAAGCTAAAATGACATAAAATTAGCAGCAATGTCGTTGGGGTGTCGTGTTGGGACAATTTTAGATACCGCCAACGGGAGCTCATCGAATCTCCTCCGGGACCTCCCACTGAAGCAAGTCAGGACAGCCATAAACATAAAAGCAATTCAAATGTATGGAATATTACAACTGGAAGATCCGATGAGGATTGATTTGCAACGCAAGAGTTTGTACCCGTTCGAGGAGCGTAAGAAGGTTGATGCATGTGCACCGAGCTAAATCTTACGGCAGCGGGTAATGTTACCATGATTGTATTCACACAGCTGGGCTTGATACTTTTACTGAATTTTATTTATAAAGATGTTTGGTAGTTATAGTAATATCTCCTAAAGAATCAGGCATGCAGGGCCGCGCCCCCGTACACCGCCCGGTTGAGTTTATCACGCACCTACACATCAGAGCTAAGTTTGCACCTGCAGAAAGCAATTGAATAATGTTTAAATACAACTTTTGGTGGCCCCGTAGATAAAGACCTCGTTACGCACTATACCAAGCGTTGCTCCTGTAACCAAACCGTGATGAAAGCCATGTCGAGGCCATAGTTCAATAACACAAATATATAAATTGTGCTACCACCCTTGCTCCACTGATGCTGCCATAGTGTTCATTAATTGCCAAAAGCCTGACGATGGGTACAGGGCTTTCATGCAGGCGCAGCGCCGTTGGGACGGTAAGTTGGTGCTGTCAGTCGCATGTATATCTTTTAACAGGATTATTAATTTATATTTGCGCTGCTCATAAAGGTCTGCCTGTATTGCTTGGCGGTGTTCGCCGCGTCAGTCGCGTCGATCGGGTGCCCGAAGGGCTGCAGTGAACATGGAACCTGTAACGAGGAGATGGGTAGGTAAGTAATCAACCACAAACATGCGATAACCTCAATACGGAAGAATGTGTTCCTCCTACAAGCTCCGTGAGTGATATTACAGTTCAGTTCGATTCCTGCCCGTCGTGACGCTACCTCAAATCGTAATCGCAACATAAACCTCCGGATAATCAAAAATATAGAGCGCACTCTTCAATTCCTAACTTATGATTCATTTGTGTGCAAGCAATTTAAAACAACCTTACGGGGCCCTCACGAACTCAGGTGTGACTGTCCCCGTAAGCGTACGGGGCTCGCATGCGAGGTGCAGCTGGACCCTCAAACCCTCACCAAGCGCTGCTTGCAGCTGGGCTTTAAGACGTACCAACCTGCACTATCGATGACAACATAAGCCGCTGCCTCAACGGCTGCAA